GTAGGTATGTGGGGGCGTGTTCGAACGAGCCGTTTTAGGTAGGTGTGTTTGACTCTTAACTTTTATGAAGAATATCTCTTTGGATTTGAGACTTTAATCTTTGCAACTTTACAGATCTTCTTTATGCACCAAGAGCTTGTAACACTCCAAAGAGAAAGGAAAAATTGAAATCGCATCATATGACCCCTTTAAAAAACTCGGTGGTTTTATTCTCATCGCTCATGCACCACCATCACTCCACCCTTCTACAAATGATCTATTCTCGAATGCGTGGGCTAGCCCAAACAGACTGCCAAAGATAAAGAAAAAAAAAAAAAAAGAGGAAGAAAGCGACGAGCAAAAAAGATAAAAGTAGGTCATCTCAGTTTATTCGAATTCAAGACGATTTCAGTATGGTGAAAGCCAAATATGCAAATTAAATCTCCCTTCATGGCAACTGTATTATAATGTCACATTTAAAGATTATACCTGTATTACTCCTAATTAAGAGCCTCATTTCAAGTTGTTACAGACAAATTCAGGAGAAACATTACGTGTGAATGAACGGAAAAATTCCAGATGTGGTTTAAGGAAAAACAACTAATTCAGGAAGTAAGTGCAGATGAACGCCCTAATGATGAGTGCTTGATGCTGTACTTTAGGAATGCAGTTACGTCAAACGAACACCACACACCCATCTTACAATATGGAAGCAGCACTTTCACATAACTTGTTAGACTTGTCATGAGTCATGACTGAAAGCAGACTGTCTTATAAGATATATTATTTTTCACAAATGTAAAGCTGGACCAAGTTGTCACATGCATTTCAAATGATTTACATTCATTAGGAACTATTTGGTGTTCAATGGTAATTCATATGTAATATTAACATTTTAAAATATTAGTATTATAAATATTTAACATTTATTAATATTGTATTAACAACAACAATTATTTATTAATACTGTATTAACAATTAATTTTAATATTAGAAATCTAAAATATTAAATTAATACATTTAATAATGATTAAAAATAAATTAATAATGAAAAATTTTGATAATTAAAAATACAGAAATTAAATTAAAATAATGTTTAAATTAATTTCATTTAATTATAAATATTAATATTTAAACTAAATTAATATTTGTAACACTGTAATAATAATAATGAAGTGTGCCAAAATAAGCTGCACTACTGGGGCATGTTCTCACAAGTGGGCAACTATTATGTTAAATGAATGTTCAAATGTTTTTGTAGTCAAGAGTTTAAGGTTTGTGGCTTAAATACAGATTTTCCCTTTGAAATATAAATCCATGCTAAGAAATATTCACTCAAGTAAAAATATGACAACTAGCCCTGTCTGCCCTATACAGTGTTTACTGTTTTGCAATGAAAGCATTTCCATTTGGCTTTTAATTTAAAGTTTCTAATTATATTCTCATCATAAAAATAAGCGAAAAGTTGAGCTGAAAATTTCGGCATAATATATCCAGCATGATCTGAGAATGATGCAAAGAACATTGTGTGCTTCAGTGAAAGCAAGAACATCTGACCTTTTGCAAAAGTGACTTCTGGTCAGTGTCACACATTTGCTTGCATTTGTATCGTTGCCTAGTAATACTGCATAATCTTAAACATTCCATGTTTAAAATATCAGATTTTTAAATGGATTTTGGACACCGTTGTATGCATATAGTACTCAGGCTAGTACTCTGGCTACTACTCAGTAGCCTACGCAGACTGGTTTAAAAAGGCACATCTGAATGGTGACTACCCTCACGCCCGTTATCTGTTCTCTGAAACTGCCATTTAAAATGGCAACAAAACGGACATAGAGAAACCGCAATCGGAAGCATAATGACGCCACTGTAGCCCTGAGCTGCCTACCTAGAAAGCATCACTTGAGAGAGCCTACGAATCCTCCCAAAAATGCTGTCTAGGTAGACAGCTCATAAGGATTTGAGACCCAGCACCAATTTAGAAGGCGAAAACAGTTGATATAATGCAAACGTAAGTACCTTTTGAAGTGACTAATCAACCCACACAGGAGGCTCAAGTACACTTGCGCTCCACCATCTTAAAGGGGACGCAGACCATTAACCTCACATCGATGATGGGTGTGGGTTTGTGGCTGCGCTCTGCTATGATTTATGACTTTCTAACTAAATCACTGACAACATGGTGTTTTTGTTGTTGTGGCAGCTGCATTGGTTCTAAGGTATTCAACCTGAGAAATGTCACCGACGCCCCTCCTACTGAAATCAATATGCGAGCGGACAAAAAACCCGCACATAAGACATCGACAAGCAATACGCAATACTTAGACCTAATGGTCAAACGTCAAATCATCACACTTACCGGAGGAATAACTCAACATCACAGTTCGTTTCGGTTATTTGACGTCCGGTCCGTGAGGAACTGTGACATAAACGGAATCAGTCTCTGACCTACTTTTCTTTCCTTCGTGTGACTGTCGGACCACTAACCTATATTTTTCACCAATAGGATCTTTGGATAAAAAGGTGCACTTGTTGTGGCCAGTCAGAATGGCGGTTACATTTCACGGAGGAATGATTGACACACGGATTGGCCAATCAAACAGGGCTTCTTGCGATTCACCGACATGGCTGATGATCCCAGTGGTTCTCATGTTGCTGCATTGTGTCTAATGTTCTTGCCCCTTTGAGAAACAGATGAGATTTTTGGAAAATCATTAGCTTAACCTGTAGAGCTTTTAATTTCTTTGAGAGAGATGCCGAGTTTTTTTTTTTTAGTAATTACGTTAACAATTGGAATATGAATGTGTTCATAACATATCCTATTGAAAAAACAAAGGAGGGACAGTGGTAGTGGAGACAATAACCAACTGGATAAATAAACAGATACAACTATAAAAGAATAATTGCAGTTTTTCTTCCATATATGGAATATGTAACAGCATTACAATATTCATAATAGTATTGTTTATAAAAAAATGTGTCTGTTTAAATAAATGTACACATTAGTTACTATTAATTTCTTGTGTTGCTTTACGTTTTTTTGTTTGTTTGTTTGTTTTTGAAAGAAGAAGAAGAAGAAGAAAAATACCAGAAGTTTAAAATTACTACCCAAAACCTTAGGTACTCTTTAGAGTACAAGGCTGGCTCCTTTAAATGTATTATTCATGCAGCTTGTCACACCACATGAATATTTAAAATAAACTAATGTACACTGACAAAAATCTGATTAAAAAAGGTCCAGTTATTAAATGTAGAAGATGAACAGTTTGATAAACATTTTGACTAATTTACCACAAAATCAGTTTTAGAATGAATAATTATAATAAAAGTTATTAGCAATGTATATCATTCTAAATGCATTACGATCTATGATGATATAGTATCACTTATTTCTATATTAATTATAATAAATTATATATTATAAATTCAAACATAATAATAAGCAAAGGATCAGGTCATTTTAAATGTATTGTCTAAATTGCCAGACTGTGCTTCTCTCTCTCTCTCTCTCTATCTCTCACCTTTAAAAAAAAAAAAAAGTTGAATAGAGAGATACTACACTATATACAGTGAACACAATTTGTAGGTATATAATTTGTGTAGGCCAATAGATTAAATATATTTTTGCAGCGGTGTAAGCTTTATATACACTAAAATATGTGTCATCTTAAACAGATTATATAATGTAGGCTATGTAAAAGTTACATATGATTTTTAAAATCAGCCTTTAAAAAGTGATTTAATTCATTTTATGTTACTATTTTTCTTAATTAATTTAGTTTCCTCTCTATCTCGCTCTCTTAATATAGAGTGTACTTTTCTTTTAGTTATAAATTAAAAACTATCAAAGAAACGAGAAAATCTCATACGTCTGGCCTGAATGGTCACATGTAAACAAACTCGTGACGTCATCACCCCGCGTCACATGTTATCAGACCGGATGTTTCATTTGTTCCTCTAGTGATTGTAACCTTATTTGCTAATAAATATAGATTGTGAACGTTATCAGCAACCAGTATTGTGGTTTAACATCTCGCAATGTCTTTAAGTTACGTAAGCTACAATGTAAAACATCAGCAAGCGGTTCATTCAACTAAACAGTTAGCCGAATGAAATCGCCCGTTAAACAGCTGAAAATAACATTAAGGTAAGTTAAGCCTTTCGTAGTTATGCATGTGTATTAAATCAAATTTCAAGAACCAGATTTGTATCGTACTTATGTATTAGATGTCTAATCTTTGTTTTATAATGTAAAATGTTATACAAAATGTATAATTATTATGATATCTAAAATATAATTTGTCATTTGTTTTGGTTCAGCGCTTGTGTTGAATGCATAGACCGAGTGCACCATGGGTGCTGAACAGAGTGGAGATGCTGAACATAAACATTCAGACTTCAGCGCTTCAGGTACTCAACATTATATTAGTAACGCGATTTTTACTTGCTCATGCTATGTTTATACTTGATGTTAAATATGTTCCTCGTGGAAACGACATAAGCATCTTTAAAGATTTTTTTTTTATTATAGACATATATTTGTTAGAATGGAGGTGTTACTTATGTTGTATATATTCTACCATACTTGTTAGTAAGTCTGTCTCGTTGTTTCAGTTGTACCCTCTCCAGCCAAGCATAGAGCCAAAATGGATGACATAGTAGTTGTTGCCCAAGGAACTCAGTCATTACGGAATATCCATAATGATCCAGATGTAATAAAGCTACAGGAAATTCCCACCTTCCAGCCTCTTCTGAAAGGTAAGCAGCAGTCCAAATGCCAACTATCTATTAGTTTAGGTTTTGTAGGCGAATAAATGGTTTATAATAGGTCTGGGTTGACAATATAAATGAATTTATTTTAACTGATTAACCGATATCGATAATCCTGAAATCAATCTTTTAGTCTATGGTGATTTCAGTTACTGCTCTAACAAAACTTCACTAAACGTATTATTTGTAGTGCACATCCCATCCAATAAATTGGATGTGCTGCTACTTTTCATATGAAACAAATTCTTATCTTTTAAAATCTGTCAATTTTAGTTTATTGTGGTGTGACATCTACCAAATTCAAAATAGAGCATTTTGATAAATATATGCAGTGCACTATATTACATACTCATATTTTTACTTAAGCTGTTAGGGATGTCTTCATTATTTAATGTATGTTTGAATAAATCTTTCATAAACACATTTTCATGACAGCCACTGGTTAAAGGTTTATATTTGAATAACGAATTGAAGTAGAAACATATGGAAAGCTTATTTCCACCATGAAATGAAAATATAAAAAAAGGTAATTGCAAATTTTCATCTCACAATTCAGACTTTTTTTTCCCTCTCAGAATTCTGAGTCTATATCTCACAATTCTGACTGTTTTGTCAATGAAAATTAAGTTTGCATCTCACAATTTTGACTTTTTTCTTGGCATTGTGAGTATACATTACGCAATACCTACTTTTTTCCTCACAATTCTGAGTTTACATCTTACAATTCTAACTTTTTCCCTCCCAGTTGCGAGTTTATATCTTGCAATTCTGTTTTTATTTCCCAAATGTTTAGACACCTAACAAATTCAGATTTTTTTTCTCAGAATCACAATTGCAATATATAAATAAGCAATTCTGTGGAAAAAAGAGAAAAAGTTGCAAATACCTTTGTTTTTCGTAGTGAAATAAACTTCCATAGAATCATAATTATATAATTAAAAATCTGATATAAAAACGAATAATAAAATTTGGACTGTTATCAATAAGTTCATAATGATATGAATCACAATTTGAGCCTACTATTGGTGTCATTCTCTCAGGTGTGCTCAGTGGGCAAACCTCCCCCAGCACTGTCTGTTTAGAAAAGCTGGATTCGGCACAGGTGCTGCAGCTGTGTGTCCGATATCAGGATCATCTACACCAGTGTGCGGAAGCTGTTGCCTTTGACCAGAACGCTCTGGTCAAGAGGATCAAAGAGGTATTCACCATCATTTCTAATGGATTTTACTGTTCCGACAAGCCAGCTTTAAATGCTGACCTGTTTTTTTTTTTTGTCAGATGGATCTGTCAGTGGAGGCGTTATTCAGCATTATGCAGGAAAGGCAAAAGCGATACGCCAAGTACGCCGAGCAGATCCAGAAGGTCAATGAAATGTCAATGATTCTGAGACGCATCCAGATGGGCATTGACCAGACGATACCACTGATGGAGCGTCTCAACAACCTTCTGCCCGAGAGCGAGCGCCTGGAGCCCTTCAGCATGAAACCTGATGGAGAAATCAAATAGAGTCTGGCAACATCTGGAAAATAGAGTTCATAGTGGGTTCACTGATTGACTTTTTTCTTTCTAGAGACCTACCTCAGGTCATGTCTGGTTGTTACTTATGAAACTTCTCACTTTACTATATTTTGAAAGGCTTATTGCGTGCCTGGATCAGGTGTTATTTGGCGTAGAAAACGTTACATGGTACAAAATGGAAAAACTATAATACCAAAATGGTAAAGGCTTGTGTATATATTTACTTAAAAGGCTTAATTGAGTGCTTTTAAAGGGAATGACAACATGTAATTCTGCCTCTGTAATTTAAAATGTTATTTAATGAGGAGTCATTAATGCATATGATGCTATTAAAGTTGTTGGCATTAAATCGTTTATACATACCCTGTCTGTTTTCTCAAGATTTATTAATGATAATACTTTTGGAGGACAGAAAATAGTTTTATAGCATTGTTATGTGATTAGGTTTGATAATTCTTTAAAGAGTCTCAGTAATATTGGTCATAGTAATTCTTTCTATTCAGCTGAATTAGACTTTTGACAGTCAGCTGAACTATTTCTCTGAAGTTCAGAGCTAAACTGATGATGGAGCATGTAAAAAAAAATAAAAAAGTCAATTTTCAATGCCGTTGTAGAAATTCACTCAGTGATGATTATAGTTTTTAATGTAATTTATTAATTTGCTTAACATTTACTCACCCTCAGAACGTCCAAGATGTCAATGAGTTTGTTTCTTCATTGGAAAAGATTTGGAGAAATTTAGCATTACATCACTTGTTCACCAGTGGATCCTCTGCAGTGATTGGTTGCCGTCAGAATTAGAGTCCAAACAGCTGATACTAACTTCACAATATTCCACAAGTAAATCACACAGCTCCAGTCCATCAATTAATGATTTGTGAATTGACAAGCTGCGTGTTTGTAAGAAACAAATCTATCCTTAAGACATTTTAAGTTAAAACCGTTGCCTCTGGTCAATATATAAATCCATAATCCATATTGCTTCCTCCAGTGGATCCAGTAATTAGCAAGTGATTTAACACAAAATTTAAAAAAATCTATTCAGATGAAGAAACAAACACGCATACATCTTGGATACCCTGCAAGTGCGTACATTTTAAGCTAATTTTCACTGATTCGATAATTACTGAGAGTAATTTGATCTTAACATGGCGCCCCCATGAGGCGACCCGCTCCGTGAAGATTAAAGCATAGTATTTAAAGCACTATTAATTTATTTATGTGTGAAAACATTTTAAAACAAACTTTAAAAAAATACAGAATAAAGTCGCAATGACCTTTTTGTTGTTGTTGTTTGTTTTAGCTCCGAGATAGATGCTCATCAAACCTGCTTACTATAAAAAAACAAACAGTTCACTCTCCGTTCCAATAGATGGCGACAAAGATCATCTTAACGTAACAGACTACAGAATGAGAGGGAGGAAATCTGAACAAAATAGCACTGGGCGCATGTGAATGGCTGATCTGAAAATGTGTTGATATCGTCAGTCCATATTCAATCTGTAAAGCAACACAGCCCGTAATAAAGCGGATTAACAGCAGCGATAATGCGGCGTCTGGGTTCAGTGCAGCAGAAGATCCCATGTGTTTTCCTAACGGAAGTGAGAAACGAACCATCCAGAAAACGCGACTGTCAGGTGGGTAAAATAAAACATTTTTGTGTACGTGTTACTCTCATGATTGCCGTCAGAATTAGAGTCCAAACAGCTGATACTAACTTCACAATATTCCACAAGTAAATCACACAGCTCCAGTCCATCAATTAATGATTTGTGAATTGACAAGCTGCGTGTTTGTAAGAAACAAATCTATCCTTAAGACATTTTAAGTTAAAACCGTTGCCTCTGGTCAATATATAAATCCATAATCCATATTGCTTCCTCCAGTGGATCCAGTAATTAGCAAGTGATTTAACACAAAATTTAAAAAAATCTATTCAGATGAAGAAACAAACACGCATACATCTTGGATACCCTGCAAGTGCGTACATTTTAAGCTAATTTTCACTGATTCGATAATTACTGAGAGTAATTTGATTTTAACATGGCGCCCCCATGAGGCGACCCGCTCCGTGAAGATTAAAGCATAGTATTTAAAGCACTATTAATTTATTTATGTGTGAAAACATTTTAAAACAAACTTTAAAAAAATACAGAATAAAGTCGCAATGACCTTTTTGTTGTTGTTGTTTGTTTTAGCTCCGAGATAGATGCTCATCAAACCTGCTTACTATAAAAAAACAAACAGTTCACTCTCCGTTCCAATAGATGGCGACAAAGATCATCTTAACGTAACAGACTACAGAATGAGAGGGAGGAAATCTGAACAAAATAGCACTGGGCGCATGTGAATGGCTGATCTGAAAATGTGTTGATATCGTCAGTCCATATTCAATCTGTAAAGCAACACAGCCCGTAATAAAGCGGATTAACAGCAGCGATAATGCGGCGTCTGGGTTCAGTGCAGCAGAAGATCCCATGTGTTTTCCTAACGGAAGTGAGAAACGAACCATCCAGAAAACGCGACTGTCAGGTGGGTAAAATAAAACATTTTTGTGTACGTGTTACTCTCATGATCAAAACCCTATAGACATTATGAATGCATTACAATATGGCGCATGCCTACTGTCAACGTCATTATTTTTAATTCATGTTTTCATTATTATTTTAATCAGTGCATTGCACTGAGAAACTGACCCAAAGCAATATGCATATCGAGTAATAAGTATATTTATAAAGCCCATTTAAAAGCAACAGTACTGATCTAAAATTGCCATACAATAACATAAAACATTGCACACACACACACACACATATATGTGGAAATCACTGGTGTATATTCAAGCCAGTTATTTCCATATCCAAAATTAGGATTTTTATTAATTTTATTATTAATTAATTTGTTTTAAGGGGAACCGTATCTCTGGGCTCGCTTGGATCAGAAACCCACCAAGCAGGCAGATAAGAGAAAAAAATAAATGAATAAAAATGCACGGGTAAAATGCATCATGCATTGTATATTTATTAGATTGAATTGTTTATTAAAAGATTTTACTCATTCTCGTTCTCATTCTGCAGCAGTTTCAGGTGGTGGCCACTGAGAATGTGAACCCTGCTGCTCTTGAATCAGATATTCACTGTGCAGTAGCAACTGAGAAGATTGATGGGACATGCTGCTATGTCACCACATACAAAGGTATAATCTGTGGCTATAAATTAGTGGGTTGATAAGATTTTTTAAAAAGTTTTTTGAAAGAAGTTTCTAATGCTCACCAAGGCATTTGATCAAAAATACACTAAAAACAGTAATTTCGTTAAATAATATTACAATATAAAATTTACTTTAATATGTAATTTATTGCTGGCAAAGCTGTCGAAGCTTATCCTTTAGAAATCATTCGAATATGCTGATTTGCTGCTTCAGAAACATTTATTATTAATATCAACACACACACACACACATATATGTGGAAATCACTGGTGTATATTCAAGCCAGTTATTTCCATATCCAAAATTAGGATTTTTATTAATTTTATTATTAATTAATTTGTTTTAAGGGGAACCGTATCTCTGGGCTCGCTTGGATCAGAAACCCACCAAGCAGGCAGATAAGAGATTCAAAAAGCACCAGTATTTGCAGAAGACCTGCAAAGGTATATTGGTCCAAAATGAATCTTTTTGTATGATTTAACTTTACATAAATATTAGAATTAACAGTGTTATTTCTTGGGTTAACAAGAAACTGTCACAACGCAGTGAATAATTATGAAAGTTCTAAACATCGGATATTTTTTGATTTTCTACTAAATAACAGGATTTGTGTGGAACGTAGATGAAGATTTCCGAGAAGTGCCAGAATCCTGGATCGCTGCTCACAGAGTCCAGCATGAGAATGGCCATCCAGTGCCGGACGAACATGGACACATTCCAGGTGGGTTGGTGTCTCTGGAACACACTCTTATTCCTGATCTTCCTGTCACAAGTTATACTGTACTGAGTGAAAATAAAGGCTGCTGATGGCATAGATATATCTGTCATGAAGGTTGGGTTCCGGTGGATCATACCAACAAGCAGTACTGCTGGCACGCCTCTGTGGTCAACTATGATTCTGCTGTTGCCCTTGTCCTGAAGACACACGGGGAGGATGAAGGGTTGCTTGAAATTGTCAGCATTCCTCTAGTAGACCTCATAGAGCAAACCCTTGAGCTTATCGGAACCAACGTTAATGGAAATCCATATGGTAAATATAATGTACTGATTTTTTTGTTTTTGAAAAAAGTCTCTTCTGCTCACCAAGGCTGCGTTTACTTGCTCAAAAACAGTAAAAAATGTAATATTGTGAAATATTATTTAATAATAAAAAAGAACTGTTTCTACTTGAATATATTTTAAAATGGAAGTTATTCCTGTGATGACAACGCTGAATTTTCAGCAATCATTACTCCAGTCTTTAGTGTCACATGATCCTTCAGAAATCATTCTGATGAAACCATTGTTTTTTTTTCTGAATTCTTTGAAAGTTCAAAAGACAGCACTTATTTGAAATAGATTTTTTTTAACATGGATAATATTTTTACTCTCATTCAAAGTGAACATTTCTTGCAAAAAAAAAACCTTTGAATGCTAGTTTAACTGTTAAGGAAGTAAGAAACTGACAGGAATTCGGGACAGGGTTCCTCAAATCTTGCCCTGGAGGGCCAATGCGCTGCAGAGTTTAGCTCCGACCCTGATCAAACTCACCTACCTGTGATTTTCTAATGATTCTGAAGACACTGATTAGTATACTCAGGTGGGTTTGATTAGGGTTAGAGCTAAACTCTGCAGGAAAGTGGATCTCGTGGGCCAGATTTGAGGATCCCTGGTTTAGGAAGTAACTCTGTGATTCCGTAGGTTTGGGAAGTAAGAAGTATCCAGTCCATGTTCTGGTGCCCCACGGGGTCCTGCGCATCTGGAACCCTCCTCCAGTGGATTTCCAGCAGCTGTATTCCTGGTTTCAGGAATGCCAAGAGGGACGAGTGGAGGGAATCGTTTGGCACTGTGATGACGGGACACTGATCAAGGTAAATAAAGGGTTCATACATTAAAGCGTCACTCTTCTGATGCAGTTATCAACATTTCCTTCAGATCAAATCATTTGAACTCTTCAGATACACCGGCATCATCTCGGTTTGAAATGGCCTGTCGGTGACAGCTTCCTGAACACCAGACCTGTGGTTGTCCACGTAGATGAAAAGCCTGATCCAGATGCTTCCGAGAAGGACTTGTTCAAATCATTTTCCAGCATAAACAGAAAACTCTTCAGCTGCATACAGGACATTCAGTTTGAACCCTGATCCCATAAAATGAAACTACCAAACATTCCTGATAAATCTGGTTTTAACCAGAGTGAAGAACCTTTGGCAACACTTAATACTGGTCAAAAATGCCTGTTGCGATTTTTCCCATTGACATTTTGCTCATATATGCACTTAGATATGTGATGTGCGCGAATGCTGTGATTGCTTTATATTTGCCACTTTTTCTTTTCTTTTAGAGAGTGGAAGTGTTTTTTTATTTAATTATAAATGTTTTATTTAATTCTTAATTTTGTTTGTTTAAATAGTTTTCAGAGGATGGTTCAGCAATATGTATATAAATAAATGGAAATTGACATTGATCGCCATTTATTACAACTAAGGAGTTTCAAAAATGAGGCAGTGATTGATAGATTATACATGTAAAAACCTTTCATTTTTGCTAGTGAGGCCATAAATCACAAATATTGTAAAACCTAACATTATATGAAAATGTTATAATATTTTACAAAAAAAAAAAAAAATGAACCTACTTATGAAACATTGTAACTTAATTGTACTTGAATATAAAGCGAATTAACATTGTACATATTTGGCTCTAACTGAGCAGTAACAATAAAATCGAATGACCTGACAAACGATCTGATGTGTGTTAGCTGATAGACACGTCTATGGGAACCGCCACTCCAAACCGATCCGACAGCTTCTTCAGCTGTTCCTCCAGGATGATGTTTTTCTTCACCTCCAGATTGTAATTGTACTTAAGATCCTCAAGTTCCTCGAAAAATGTCGGGTCAAAGTTTTCCAGCTCTCTGGTCAGCTTTTTCACTTCATCCTAAAATGAAAGCATTTATAATGTGACTTGAGATTTAAAAACAGATGATTCTTATGGCATTTTGTTTTTCTTCAGGGATACCTGTAATTTCTTCTTTTCAGTATTTGCTGCCTTAATTTGTTCCTGGAGCTCACTGTATCCTACAAAAGGAACAGGTAGATGATATAAGTCTCATGTAGCCACAATATGAATTCTTCAAAAAATCAATGGTGATCTTACCTGGTCCTGCTTTGCTGGTTCCAAACTGCTCATCGTACCATTGAATTTGAAAGAAGTTGAGCTTTTTCCCTCTCAACTTGTTTATTGGCCAGTCTAATTGGAAAATATTTGGCAAAGGTGGTGACCTCTGATTCTACAGATCCAAGAATGTCCAAGACATCAAGTTCAGTTTTAATAACACCTGCGTTCAGCTCCTTAGTGAGGGAACATTTTACGTTCTCACTTAAAATATGGTCCACGTCTTCCTCAGGGATGAAGGACATGGTCTCGTCCATTGCTGGTTCTTCAGGCAATGGTTTGGCATCAACTGTGCTGAGTGCTGCTGCTTTTTCTTCAAGCTCTTTAGATCCTGCAGATGTTTTCAAATATTGGCTTGGATCACCTTCAGATTTCAAAGACTCGATACGTTGTTCTTCAGGTTCTTGCTCCTTATCTCTTTCCTGTTGCTCATCCTCCAGATGTTCTTTTAATATCTCTGGCTCTGTGTGAGTCCTACTTTCTTCTGTGTTTGTCTTTTTTCATTTTCAGTTTTTTGATATTCTTCAAGAGGCTTATCTGTCATCTCTTGATGCGTCAGTCCTGAATCTAGTTCTTCTGCATCTCCATTAGTCTTCAGTTCTTCCTCTTGTCCTCCTCGAGTCTCATCTGGTTCCTCTATATCGTTCTCAACCAATCCCTCTTCACTTTTGTTCTCATTGACCAGATCTTCTGGTTCTACATCTGCAACGCTCTCTTCTACATTCTCCTTGCTCTTTTCCTCATCTTGACTCACTTCTGCTGCACTCATGCTTCTGAATGAAGTTTGAGTTGCTTTGTCCTCTGTAACTGCTATTTCCTTTTCGGGGACAGCTTCTTTTCCAGGGATTGTGTCATTTACTAATGGAGACCGAGTTTGTTCACCTTCACTAATATCGAAAGTCATATAATGAACAACTTTTGAGGACCAACTGAGCTGAGGTGGTGATGCCACATGTTTTTTCTTCATTATCAGAGATGGAATAGAGGTATGTAGAAAGAAACCGGTTTGAGAGAGAGCGTAAGAGTGAAATTAGTTGGGTGAATTTCATGAAAAGTGTTGAAAGGCAAAATGTTTGTCACGCAAAGTGTTACACCTACAGATGGTCTGGATGAAGACTCTTTGGACAGTTGACTCTCCAGGGAGTGAAGCCTCTCCTCAAGATAACGGTTCCTGATGGTAATATCCTCAATTGCGGCATCATGGTGTAAAGCCTGCTGCTGCCTACAAAATCAATGGTATATGTTTATAAAATAAAAAAAATTGAACAAATTGGCACAATGGCACGATTGCTAGGCAGAACACACTTTATCACTTTGATTTGCTGCTCCAATTCAGCATTCCTTTTTTGTAGCTCCTCAATCTCTCTGTCAGCCTCGAGTGTCCGTACACCAATGACCTGATCTGCAGACACTCCTCTGCCCTTTAGTTTCTTCTGGAGACCCACCTTCTCCTGCTCCAACCTTCATAGACATCAGGCAAAATAAACATGATTGGGAATCTTCAACTTTTGTTCTTACTATTAATAATTGCTAAAGTTAAGCTTGTGTTTCTTGCATACATTTTGGCCACATTTATTTAAGATTCAAACTATTAATGCGTCACTTGAAACTGTCCATTATGTGGATAGATTACAGCACAGACCTGCTGTAAAGTTCCTTGATTGTTGTTAATTGTTTAGCCAGAGATTCCACTTCTTTCTCCTTCTCCTTCTCCTTGAGAACGCTCCGCACTTTCTCCACCCTGGCCTGCCACTTTTTACCTTGCTCCCATCTCACGATTTCTTCTTTAAAGGACTGCAAAAATAGGAAAAATTCACATATATACAGTTATTTTGTTAATAAATCAGAAGGATTAAACAAATCAGAGAAACATAATGATTTAATTATAATGATTACTATACTTCTTCAATGACTCAGACATGATCAGAAAGCAAGCTAGACTATAAGACTTTACCACAAAATGCAAAATTAAATGTGTGTGTCAAAGAATAAAGCCCCGTTCACACTGCTAGCGACTTTCTCGCTGTGTGTCGCTAGACTCTGTACTGTGAAGACGCTTGTGGGCGTTTCTAGTGCTGTCGCTCTAATGTCATTGGTAGACTGCACGTCTGGACCTATCTTAGAAAATACACAATCTATATATATAGCCAGTAAAACTAAGATATCATTCTAATTTGACTAGGAATTAGACTTAAAAGAAATAAAAGTAGCATTCTGCTGTTGGTGAGGGTTGTTATTTAAACTACAGCAGCGCTCAGTGCATTAAATCATTAACCAGTGCTAAACACGAACATCAATGTATGAATCAAACTCACTAAGACTGCCAACAGTTTCTTTTCCATGCATCATTTTTAATATCTATGCATGTGGTTAAGGCTAAATCATATAAAACAGTGAAATCGCTCCAGAACTCCATCCTGTCTTGCCTGCCCTGCACTCGAGACGATGACGTGTGAGCGCTACTGACAGATTCTTCACTCCTATTGGTTGATGCTTGAGAAATTCGCTGTTCATTTGCATAAAGTTAAACTATTCTTAACTTTTGTTGCGTTACTCCCTTCACTCGCCACGCCCACATTCTGTTGCCAATGGTTGCCACCGTCGCTTGTGTCGCTGGAAGTCGCCAGCTCTCCACTGAAAATGAATGGGATCATGTCGCTTTGTCGCTGCGTGTTGCTGGTGGTGTGAACGGGTCTTAAGAGCTCAAGCAAACATCTGACATCAAATTACATATGTAAAGGCTTCTTTAGCCTTCTTCTACATCAATTTCTACAGATAATTTACCTTTAACGGCCTAACGTTTCTTGTAGTAAATGCAATTCTAGTTCACCTTGTCCTCATTCAGGACGCTCCTCTTGTCTGCAGGCTCTGAGATGCTCTTCCTGTCCAGCTCCTGCTCCAACTTACAGATCTTCTTCTGAAGAGCTTCAACTGTGGGCCCATCACTCTCAACCTGAGCCTGCACAGACAAACACCAAATACACACACAAAAACACATCTTTATTTATTTAGACTCTCATTTTATTCTTACTGACAATTTTATTTTCTTTATCTCCTTTCATAAATGTACGATTTTCAAATGTTTTTGAAAAAAGTTTCTTAAGCTCAACAAGGCTGCATTTATTTGATCAAAAATACAGTAAACCCAGTAATATTTTGAATTATTGCAATTTAAAATAACAGATTTCTATTTTAATACATATTCCTGTGATGCAAATCTAAATTCTTTTATTCATTACTCTAGTCTTCAGTGTCACATGATCCTTCAGAAATCATTCTAATATGCTGATTTGCTGCTCAAGAAGCATTTATTATTATTATCAATGTTGAAAACAGTTGTGCTGCTTATCACAATGCACTGGATAACTGGCCAATCAGAGCACACCTCGCTTTTCAGACCGATGAGCTTTGTAAAAATCGACGCGTTTCAGAAAGGCGGGGCATAGAGGAGAAACAATAATGTACAGTATGTGGAAAATAATGTGTTTTTTGAACCTTAAACCACATAAACACATTTCATTACACCAAATGCACAAAATAATATGTTCTTTTTTAGCAACGTCGTATGACCCTTTAAGGTGCAACATTTTGGCGAAATTTAATGGAAAAAAAGGCCCTCATATGATATTCCCAATAGCGCAGATTTCTATTGAAATTATTACTGAATTTTGCCTATGAAAATTCGCCAATCAATGCTAATTGTAACTGCACATTTACTCTAGTTGTCCACTGTGTGGTACCTTCAGCTGTTTCTCCTTGAGGGCCAACTGAGTCTTCAACCGCTCCACAAGGTTCTTCATGGTGTTGGATGGTGACCTGACATTAGCCTCTTTCTGGGCCTCTAGCTCCGTGCGGAGGTAATGCAGCTCTTTCTCCATCTGAATGAGCTGAGCTCTCAGCTCTTCTGCCTCCTGGGACAGACCCTTCACTTGGGCAACATGTCTCTCCTCAAGTCTTGGAAAGGAAAGCTCATTAAAAGTGACACAAGGAATCAATATCATGATACTGATCAGTATTGAAAAAAGCGGGCTTGTTTTAATTTCTCACCTGGATATTTCTGCAGCATGCTCCATGGCTTGTGCTGCAGTCACCTGTTTTTGTTGGACCAGCTCTGCAGTGACGACCTTCAGCTTGTGTGTCAGTGAGGAGAGAGAATTGTCCTGCTCGGTCACCGTCTGCTCCATTTCTGCCAACTGCACCAAGTGCTTATTGGTCGGTACAGTGATGGTGGGCTTCTTCATTAGCTCCTAGAGAAGAATAAAACTGAGTAGCCCAATAAAGATGACAGCTGCGATGATTTATGACATTATTATATATATTATGTGCACTATATATTTGTTCTTTCTTGATCCATTTCTGGCAAGCTATAATAAGTTGAGCTTTATAATAAATACTCTAGGTACCAGAGCGGTCTGTTTGAAACGGTCCAGTGATGCGTCCATTAAGACATCCAGTTTCTGATGCAGGGACCTGACCTCTTCCTCATGCCTTTTGGCAATCTCTTCCTGCTCCTGGGAGAATAAAAATGAAGATATACAGTATGAGCTTTTATATGGTTTTATTGTGCAATTTGGATCACCAATTTATGAAGTCTGTTTTTAAATAGGCACCTGACGAGCCTTTGCTAACAGGTTCTGGTACTTCTTGAGAACCTCTTCTTTCTGATCCAGATGCCCCTGTAGGTTATTAATGGTCTGGTGGGCGACCTTCAGGGCGGGCTGGCTATCAGAGTCCTCTTGTTTGCTCAGGTCAGCTAGGAGTTTCTCTCTCTCAGCAGCGGCTGGTAGGCGAAGCCTCAGTTCATTGATCACTTTGTCTCTGGATAAGATGTTTTGTTCTGATGTCCACAATGCAGCTTCTTTTTCCTTCAGCTTCTGCTCAGAGAGAAAGAAACTCCTTGTAACATAATCTTAAAGACAAGGTTTACAATTGGTAAAGCTGACTTAAATTATTACCCAGTCACTTGATGGATAAAAAAATACCTCTTCCAGACTTTTGAAGGTGGCTTTTGTCTCAAGGATGGTACGAACATGCTCTTTGATTTCTCCAAGAGCGTAGTCTAACTGGTGCGCTAAAGGCTGATTTGGATCCAGTAGAGAGCCTGTGGCTTCCTCAAACTAAAGTCAAACAGGACAAGTTAAGTGTAATTTAAATTGTAGTTCAGTAAACTGCTTACCAGAGTACAGTAACAAAAATTTGTCAAGTCTGCAAAGAGTCAGTGTTGACGGAACCTTCTGAGCTGTGCTTAGGCCTTCATTCTGCTGTTTCTCATAGGTGTCGAGTTGGCGCTCCAATTGCACCTCTCCCTGATCCCAGATCAGTTGCCGCTCCTCGAGAAGCTAATACAATGATAACAAATAAGATTAGAAATCATGCATGAAGCAAGCTCTCTATACTGTAATAAATCAGGAAGAAACATGTTTAAATGCAATACTGACATTATTCTGCTGCACCAGATCCTCTTCCAGGCCACCGATGGTGCGTTCCTGCTCAGCCACAATGTTCCTAAGGTATTTTATCTCTTCCCGCTGGGCATCAAGCTCTCTGCTCTGCCTCATTTCCAACAGACGAACTTCCTCTAGTTTCTTATGCCACTCACTCACCTGTAGGGGTTGATATTAAGCTGTAAACACTGCAGCGGAGTGTAAATTTATGTTTATGGGAACAATTTTCTTTATTAATAGGGAGTAACGTAATTCATGTGAATCATTTACAAGTAAATATAATAAAATCTATTAAGAATATAGGAAGAAATAAGGATTTTTTTTTTAAAGAAAATGGTGGCTATTTTTAGGTTCATTGATCACTGTGAAATGTTTTTTTTTTTATTACTGTGATGCAAAAATTACTATATTAAAAAGATTACATTATACAGTAATAATAATCTTAAATAATCTTAAAAAAAAAAAACTGGATGCATTACAAGAAGGAGAGTAGTTATTTTGTGTAAATAATGCAAATATATTAATATATAAATTATTATTAACATTTATTATAAATAAAAATTATAAATTTTTTCATAGCAATAAAATATGATTGCAAGAATCATATCACAATTCTATTTATAATCAATCAACCTACTTTCTGAGCTCCTTTGGCATCTTTCAGTGTTGCTATGAGCACTTCCAACCCCTTCAGCTTTAGCTCCAGTTCTTGTGCTTTTCCTTCTGCTTTCCTCCTCTCCTCCTCTGCCTTATATGCTTCCTCCCTGGCCCGTGCCTTGTTCTCTTGCAGTTGGAGCATGGTGTTGGAAAACTTCTCCTGTTGGGCCAGCGGCAGGGCTCCTGAGAACTGTCTGCGGAGAGCCTGGCTGGTGTGGCGGAGGTGTCTGGCCCGCTGGTGACCCTCCTGCCTCGCATGCCACAGTGCCTGCTGCTGAGCATCCATCTGCTGTTCAACTCTGAGCTTCTGCGCTTCAAGTTTCTGCAGGCGTGTGTTGGTGGCTTCCAGTTGGCTGATGGCTAAGGTCTCGCTCAACTGGAGAGCCACAATGTGCTGGTGGAGATTGGCGATAAGGGCCTTTTCATCGGACTGAGCCTGAAGAGGAGATGTGCAATTACGGACGTGATCAAGAGGCTGCACAGCTGAAAATTTTTTTTAAGAAAAGCATGAGAAAAACATACCTGATAGTCCAACACCTGTCTCCTCAGGCTTTCAACCTCCTTCTCTCTTGACTGCTGTCTGGCCTCCAGAGCAGACACTTGCATTTTAGCGACATCCGACACTTCCCGCAATCTGCAAACATTTCAAAACTCTTAAAACACGTTTGTATACATTTTCTTGTGATATGTTATCATAGCAAGCATATGCACAGGCTGAGTCATCAGGCTTACTTGGACACTTCAATCCGCAGGTCTGCATCTGTTTTCTCCAGTTCGGTGATTCGCTTGCGATCGGCATCGCTGATGTCTTTGCTTACACTGTCCGCCAGCTCATCCCTGAGCTCCCGCTCTATCTGCTGAGCCTCCAGGTATAATTTTGTGAGCTGTACAGGCATACAGAAATATATACAACATATTAGTTTATTAAATGTTCAACATACTGCGTTTAAAAATAAAATAAAATTAACATAAAAAGCTTATTTAATGTTCAACATACTGTTTTATAAAAATAAAATAAAAGCTTATTAAATGTTCAGCACTGTTTTATAAAAATAAAATAAAGTGTTAAAGTGTTTGAAAGTGTTTAAAATTGTGTTATATAAAACAAAACTAAATCATATTATTATAGTTTATAATAATAAAATAAATAAATAAATAATATTTAATGTTAATCTGTTTTATTAAAATAAAATAAAATAAAAAACTTATTAAATGTTTAACACTGTGTATTATAAAAATAAAACAAAAGTTTATTTAATGCTCAACGTAATGTGCTTTATTAAAATAATAATATAATAAAATGTGGTGTTCAAGCTAAGGTATGGTTGCTATATTCTGGATGCTATGTGATGCAAGAGATAAATCAGACCCACCTCAGCAAACTTGGTCTCTAGCTCAAAGTTGACCTCTTCCACCTGTTTGAGGGAGTTCCTCAGGTGCTCATACATCTTCTGAGCATGTTCGGCCCTTTGCCTTTCATTTAACTCCTTCATCTCCAGCGTTGTGATGCGTCTGGACACAGATACAATCTCGCTGTTGGCCAGGGCTTTGGCTGCCTTGCCCATGCTGTTCTCACCACCTGTGAACACCAGAAATCAATTACATCATTTGCAATGCTTCAACATTGCTTTTGCTTATTGTATCTATTAGCAGTGACGTTTACCAGTCGTGCTGATGTTTTCCCAGGCCTGCTCCAATGTGTGAAGCATCTCCTTGCTGATCTCAAGCTCTTTATTGATGAAGTTAATGCGCTCAAGTAAAGACACATTCTCCTTCTGAAAGGAAAGGAGAGTACTGTAAGAAAAACAAAGAAGGTCCATTGCTTAATGTAACCTGCAAGCGATGTACCTCCAAGTGCTCCAGCGTGGTTGTCTTCTGAACAAGGTGATTGTCTTTCTGTATCTTTCTGTTTCTGTACTTGATGGTGAGCTCGGTGTATTGTTTATTGGCTCTCTCCAGCTCTGATGCAGGAACACTACTGTCAAGGGATTTCTGCAATGCGGCCATATTAAACGCTGCCATTTCCTAAGAGCAAAGAAAGTTACAGAGGTCAGCAAAGGTCAGTCACAGCCATCAGCAAAGATGACCACCATCCCTCATAGTGAAAGACCAATATATATTGGCGAGGCTGACTATTCTGTCAAAACAAAGCCTTGGAAATTCCATCGTTCATCATTTTCTTTTCCATCTTTTTGAGTGATACATTGGCCTACCTTGTACCTCTGCAGGTAGCCGATTCTTTCAGTTATAGCGGCCTCCATTTGAATGAAATCATCCTTCAGTTTGCCATTCTCCTTCCTCAAGTGTTGCTCGAGCTCAAGCAGAGTCGTATAACGTCGTGTCAGACACTTCTCATTCACCCTGAGAACCGCCATTTTTCGGGCCGTCTCGGCCAGCTCCCGTCGGATCTCATTCGGGTCCTTTTCAAGAGCCTCAAGCCAGTGCTGGGAATGAGTCAAACAGATAATGGGAAGCACGAAAGGGATAAATTTGAAACTTAGTGGTTTATTGGATTTTATATTATATGAAGTCTTGAGGCATCTAATAACCATTAGCTGAACAGATTTTTTTCCACCACAATGTTGAATTCTTTATTCTGAGACAAATTCCAAGGGTGTTTCAAATTAGTGACATCAGTTTGTTAGCAAATCGCTATAGTTATACAGGTTTGAGTAACAGGTGAGTAAATGAACACATCATTTTAATTTTGGGTGTAAATGATCAAGACTTACATTGTACTCTTTGATTTTCACTGCGTCCACCTCCCTTTGTTCCTCGAATTTGGATTTCAGTTCGGCAAAAGAGTCTCTCTCTTTCTGCCAAGACTCCCTCTCGCTAAATCGGAGCGCATGAGGTGATTTAAAATCATGCTTTATTGATCTCTGAACATATGTATAATCAAACATATTTTATAATATAATATAAACAATATTTTTTGGGATCAGCATACCTTTATGTATATAATATTTTATATTTTAAACTCTCTTATTGGCTCGGCATACCTTTGATACTCCTTGTATAGTAGTCCTTGTTGATGGCGGATCACTGCAAATTTCCTTTTATATTCTTCCAGAGCCGAACTGAGCTGCTCAATGGAATCTTCTTTGTTTTTGATCTCCTGAACATCCACAGTCGGGAGTCTTAATATTATGTACGTTACATCTGGTTTCTGTTATAATGTGATACAGTAATCGGACTGACACACACACACCTGTAGGAGTTGTACCATGTACTCGTTGAGTGTGTTGATGACCTCCGCACTAGTGGGCGTCATCTCTTCAGGCAGAGCTAATGACTTGTAAGGGATGGCAGTGCCAGTTGATTTGCCCACTGATTCAACCTCACTTTCCAAGCGAGCAATCTACAAAAAGAAGTCACATATGTGAAAATGGTGACAGTGAATTCAAAATCTATTTTTTTTAATCCAGTAAACGTTTGAGTTGGTATTGTGAGTAAATACCTTCTCATTAGCTTTAGTTAACTGATTGAGAGTGTTTGCTGCCTCCTCTCTAGCTGCCTTCATCTCTTGCCGTAGCTCCTCGTTGCGGCCGGTCAGCTGATCTACCTGCGTTCTGAGGTGGAGGCTTGCATCAAACTTTCCCTCTGAGTACTTCATCTCCAGAGCCTTAAGATAAACAAAATTATCACTCACAAATTTTGTGACAGGATATTTAGGAATCGTAATCTCATTTTGCTGCAAGTTTAGGGACCACAAACTTCATATTCATGTATGCGAGACTGAATAAAAATTAATAAATTTTGAGTGCAAAATGCAAGTCACATTATCACAAATTTATCAGGATGACTAATCATTATTCCTGCACAAATTCTGTGCTTGCATTTGAATACCTACCGTCACTTGATCGATGTTCATCGGTTTTCCTCAGTATAATTGCATTTTGTAAAGGGTTTTATTAAAAGTTTTTTTTTAATAAAATGTCAAATTTAAACTAATACGATAATCGTTACAGCTACGAATGAGAGTGATGTACTCTCAGCTCGGTTAAACACATTTCACCACAGCAAGGCCATTAAATGTATAATTTTAAACGCATAATTATGACTGGTTTCACAGACAGGGCTTAAATTAAGACGGGAATAAGCAATAGTTCAATTAGGACATTTAAGTAGTTTTTATAAACATGCCTTAGAAAAAACATTACTGGTGTACATCTTGAGACAAATCAATGGCACTTACATATTTGAAGAAGTTTCTTTCAGTTAAAACAGCTCAGACATGCATTTTAGTCTGGGACTAGGCTTAATATTAATATAAGCTTATATTTTCACAACTAAATAATACAAAATAATAATTTTACATTAAATATTCTATTTTTCATAAAAATTTATACTTTTATATTTAAATTCATAACTTACTTAATGCATAATTCTAGTTTTTATTATTTCTTTATAATTAATTTATTATTATGTTTTCTCACACAGTTTCCCCCCCCTTAAATATTATATTTAATTATAATCATAAAATGTATTATATATTTTTAAATGATTATTTATAATAATTCTAAATATGTAATTATTTATTATAGATAATAATAAAATATTTTTGATTATTATTGTAATTTTTCACATATAGTGTGGGCCCTCTAAATGGTGGTAAATGTACATTGACGAGTCTGTCCAGGCTGGGAATGCTGACGCCAGTGGATGTGGGTGTTTTCTTCTGAGTGTCCTGGATGGCCCGCAGGATCTCCTTCATGCCCTGCTCCAGCTGTTTATTCTCATTCAGCATTTCATTCACTGCAGGAGAGAGAGAAACATTATAGTCACAAAAACCACCTGACATTGCAAGTGTGCAAAGGTCACGCGGTGATGCTGCTCACATGTGGCTTTGAACTGGGCGGATTCTGTTCTCTTGAGCTCAAGTTCTTTCTCTTTGTTGCTCAGCTCTTTCTGCAGATGCTCATTCTGAGAAAAAAAAAGGTTGTTAGCTTAGCTTTAATGCTTTTATGATGTTCAAAACTCATTCTTTTCTGATAAAAGGCTTACTTTGCATTTCATCTCTTCGTCTGTGAATCCAGAGACAGGCCTCTCTCTAAAAGATCTGCTGGGCTTTTCTTCAACTCTGTCATCACGCATTGAACTACTAACTACTGATATGCCTTAAAAAGGAAATGTGCTGTCAGGTTTCATTATATAAAGCAACCAAATGATCTGTTTATGTGAATAGGACATGAGTGTGTAACTGATATGCACCATCTTGGAGATAATATCTCACCTTTGTCCTTCACCAGCGCACGAATGTGTTGATTAAGCTCGAGCCTTTCCTCCTCCAGACGCTCAATCTAAGGAGAGTCGCGTTAGGGGTCACAGACAAAATTAAAGAGGGCTAACAGAGCAAAGTCACACCATAAAGACAACGCTAATCGGTTTTACCTCTTTCAGCAGGACCTGGTTCTCTGCTTTGTACTGTCTCTGCTTCAAAATCTTTGATCTGCGGAATTCACTCAAATCCAATTCTTCCTTTTGATTTAATCCTGGTGTGGGAAAACGATCCCAATGAGGGTCATAGCAGATTTTTATCTTAGCAAAATCAGCAAGGGATATGAAAACAATCTAATATGTCTAGGTGTAGGGATAATTTATACGGGATTCCTGAAAGAATAAAAGCAGGTTGAGGAAACTTACCAAGGCGTTCTCGTAGGTCTTCATTCTCATCTAGCAGATTGTTGATTTTGATCTCCAGTTGGTTTATCTCTTTTATCATGGATTCTGTTTCCCGGTCTCTCACTCGGATTTGATTTTTACATTCTTTGAGCTCAGTGATGGCCGCTTTCAAACCATCCGTCCCCTGAAAGACAGTGGAGTGTTTCAAGCCAAACTTCTATTTAGGTTTATTGTAAAATTCTATAGGTTAAAGTGACTCACTTGTTGTTTTCTGAATGTTTATCATTTGAATTATTTGTGATCAAGTGTTGCTACTTTCCAACAGAAATTGTAGAAGTTGCATCAAAAATGTTCTATTTGAAAAGTTGCCCCAACGCATTATTGCTAGAATTGATGAGAATTTTAAAATTAGATAAATAAATCAAGAGCAACCTGATATAATTCATTTTATTTGAAAAGATGGATTATTTGAACATAAACATGAATATCTTTAACGAGTGGTCACAACGATAGACGCAATAAAACAGCAAAAATAAAAGGAAAATGTTGGATTTATATTTATTTAAATTAGTGCTGGGCAACGATTAATCGCATCCAAAATATTTTTTATTTGTTTACATAGTATATGTGTGTGTAGTCTGTGTACTAAACACACATGCATGTATATATTTAAGAATATATTATGTTTATATATTAAATATATTTATATATAAAATAAATTATATGAATATAAATATATACATGTAAATACATGTAAATATTTTAAAAATATATGCATGCATGTGTGTGTATTGTTTATATATACATAATAACTATACACAGTACACACACATATATTATGTAAACAAAAACTTTTATTTTGGATGCAATTAATCGCGATTAATCGTTGACCAGCGCTAATTTAAATAAAAAAATGTTATGCATATGACATTAATTATTATTTAATAAATTATTTAAAATATTCACATTTTCATTAAATATGATCACAAATATGGGCCCAAAATTAAACCGACACAAAGATAGATGCAATAGATTAAAAAATAAATAAATAACTAATAACTTAAACTGTTGATAAATATATCAAATAAAAATAAATTGAAGATGCATTAGCAAAAAATAAATAAACAAATAAATGTTTTAATTTGTTAACAAATTATTCATTTACATGTATTTAGTCATTATTTAAACATTTTTAAGTTACATAAAACTTTTTGTCAAGTGAGCTTATAAGGAAGGCTCCTATTGTAGGCAACTTCTGCTTTTAGATTCAAGAAAAAGACCTTGTGAAGATGCTTTGTGACCTTACCAAGTTGAAGACACCATTGGAAAATAAGAGTAATTAATTGTCCTAAACCCAAGAACATTTATAGCGACCCCAAAAATTATTTAGACTTTGTAACAGGAGTGAATTTTACACTACTAAAAGTGCAAAGGGATAAACTCACAGACTCATAGAGTCGGATTCGACTGAGGGTGTCATTGAGTTCTTTGTCTTTGTCCCTGGCATCATGTTCAGCCAGTTGGGCGGCACGCTCAGCCTCCAGAGCTCTCCTCTCAGCCGCCTGCAGCTTAGTGCTCAAGCCTTCCAACCTACGCTGCTGCATGCTGACGTGACCTTTATCTTTCTTTAACGGTTTCTTCAGCTCCTCGATGAGCACAGCATTCTTTTCCATTTCTGTTGTGTACTGCTCGACTTGCTCTGACAGCATCTTGATCTGGTTGTCCCTCTCTTGCACGGCCTTTTGAAGTCAAACACAAAGTCTATGACTTCCTTAACCCCCGTTGGGATAAAATAAGATGAACCAATAATGATGGAAACAGATGAATAATGACAGATGACAGATGTAAAACTGAGGAACAATGACACATAAAGCAAAGGAAATGAGAAACAGAGATACTTACGCCACACAGTTCATATATGACCTGACTCGGCCGAGTGGTAAACAAGAGAGAATGGAAAAAAGAAACATTTGGAAGCCAATGAAGCATTTGAAAGGAAGCAGTAATGAATAAAAGTAGAGTGCATCAAAAAGAACACAAAGATAGATGATAAATCACACAAACTAAGTCAGATACATTAAAGTCAATCTGAGGTCTGTTCCACACATCTTGCGTCTGTGGCGAGTTTCAACGGCCATATTAACAGGTTACAGCATTTACGCTGTATTCCCAGAAGCATCACAGTGGCGATGATGAGTTCTGCCACTGAAAATGTTTGTCATGCATCATATATTAAACTTAAGAAAAAACACATTGAAATGCACTATAAACCTTTTTATCAACACCATCTTTTGCAATACAGGCTTTTATGAAGCAACAAAAAATAAAAGTGGGACATACTGTTTTAAAACAATACATCTGGTGGGCTACGTTCCACACGCAGTGACAGTCACATAAACACTTTCTATTCAGCAAATCTGGCAGTTTATAGCTACACTTTGAGGTTTGGGTTCCATTCCTTATAAATTCATTCACATTTGGGTGTAAGCATGGACGCTTCCTCATGTAAATTCAATTTCACAATAATCAAGTTTGTTAAAATTATCAATAGCCAAATTCTATTACTGATACGATAGATTCTATTAAAGGAGTGCTACTAAAGGAACTATTTAATATAACAACCCAGAAATCTCTTTAATCCCAGTATAGAGTACATATTTTGTCATGCTGCAAATGCAGGATGTGTGAAACAGGCCCGAGACATACCTTGTATACTAATTAGTAGGATAAAAAAATAAAATAAAGTTGAAGTAATATGTTTGGTTAATAATTCAAAAAATTATATGAAAGAAAGAAATAAAAATAATGACTGCTTCTTTATGCACCAAGAGCTTGTAACACTTCAAAGAGAAAGGAAAAATTGAAATCGCATCATATGACCCTTTTAAAATACCATCACCTCTACATACATGATTAATGAATTGAACTTAACTTATTCAGAAATTATAATTTACCAAAACACAAATTAATATATACACAGTGTTTAATTTATATTTTGTTTGTTTTATATGTTATTATATTTTAAAATGTAACTTTATATATATATATAAAGAGAGACAGCGAGAGAGACACCCCTAGTGTTTAACTTTTCATAGGTAGTTTCAGAAAAGTGATTCAGGATAGCACTGCGTGATACTTTCAAAAAAAAAAAAAACTTGCAAACATTTAGGTGTTGATGTCACATTTACATATTAATATTGACTTAGACTGAAATCAATAAAATATTCAAACTGCAATTAAAAAAAAGAAAAAAAGAAACCTTGACCACTGATATAAGGAAAAGCAAGATGCAATGCAAAAAAGTAATCTATTTTCTGTGAATTTCCGATTCATAGGTTGCACATTCGTGCTAAAGGTAAATAACTAGAGGAATAACAAAGTGCAGTAAATGATATATAAACAAAAATAAAAACAACTAAAAAGAAATCTTGAATACCGATACAAGTGGGCTCAAAAAAATGTAAGTGCTACTAAATTTTACACGTGTGTAAATTAAGTGTGTATTTCTATTTTATTTTGTTAAAAATATGGCCCATTGAAAGGAGTACTGAAGCATTAGAGGTGTATTAATTAGACAGTGAGCCTGCCATGTTATGATGGCATTATATGACAGGCTGAAGGTGATTTGGGGATTACCTGCAGGTCTTCCATGAACTGGTAGAGCTGTTGGTTGGCTTTGGTAAGTCTCCTCTGAATCTCATTGCTCTCCTCTTTGGTCTGAAGAGGGTCTCTCTGCTCTACTTCCTTTCTGTAGAACTCCACATCCTGTTGCAGCTGTTCGTTCTGCAGTAACGAACAAATCCATTACTCAACCTGCTGTCAAACATGATTTATTACTAAATGAGTGGATTATCACTCATCATTCCAGATTATCATATTACTTAAAGCACAGCACTTTTGAATTCTTCATTCCAGACATTTGACTCACATTACAGGAGTGTTGATTAATTTCCTATAATAGCACAGTGGTGAAGCCATCACTCAGGGCTTAGCAATAAAGTTGACCAGTTCCAGAGAGTTTCGGGCCTGTTCTAAAACAGACACTTGCTCTATCGTGGAGTGTTATGTTGATCACGTGCATCTGATTTTATGAGTTGTTGCGAGTTAAGCCGATTTATATAGAAGTTAAGATTCTCTAACTGGCTAATGTATAAGGTTTTATCGAAATTGTGAGAATGACTTGTGAAAGTCTCGGATTAGTAAGAATAGATTGAAAATGATCAACAACTCCGTAATCTCTGCTGCTTCATAAGCCATATACAGTACTGTTTTCATATACAGACTGGTGGTGCAGTTCCAACTGACATAAACATGTTCACTCTTTTGTACCCTATTCTTGGAAAGTGCCTACCTCCTCATTGGCTTTCCTCTCCTTGCCCATTTCCTTCTCCAGCTGGGTCACCTCTCTCTCTTTGCGCTCCAGGTGACTCTCCAGTTGGTGAATCTCATCCCGGAGGAAGCGTGTGTCTCCCCCTCCCATCACATGCTGGGCCATCTGGACAGGAAGCAAGGCGGATGTGAATAAAGCTCAAGACCCAAGACCCAAAACTTTCCATCTGTATATATCTCTTGACACTGGTGAGTTGAGCGGCTCAATGACGTCTTATTTCACAATTTATCTATTTAATTTTGATGTTTATTGCTGGAAAAACAACAAAATTACACAAATTCTGGTTTTAAAATGCATTTATTCATGTCCCAAATTTTGGTAACAGGGTTGCTGAAATAAATCTCATATAATATAAATAAAAAATTACAACAGCTTATTTAAAGGGGTCATATGATGCCGTTCCTCACTCTAGCCGCCGGCCTCCGCTCACTCTAGGCCGCCGCGTGTGTGACGCTGTATTTCGTTGTGAAAGCGAAACTACTTTGTTTGGCCTTCCAAAAGAGGACATGACTCCCAAGACCCAAAACTTTCCATCTGTATATATCTCTTGACACTGGTGAGTTGAGCGGCTCAATGACGTCTCACTTATTTCACAATAATAAACATATCAAAGGAAATGTGATGTGCAGAACAACTACAGTTTTAACAGACAGCAAGACACAAGGAATTAAGCCATTAATCCTCTTAAGACTGTACTTGTACACCGACTGCTCACAAACAGCACACAATGTAAATCAAATAAGTGCACTTGTATACAATTATTAGTGAAATACCTCCCTTACCTCTTGCTCACCTTCCAGCTTTAGCACTTTGGCTTTCAGCTCATTTTCTGGAATCATTTAATACACAAGCATAAATATATTACTTATATATTACAGCACGTGCAAAGCTTTAGCTCTTAACATATAGACTTAATTACTTTATTAGATCATTTCAGCCTTAGGCTTTCTACTGGATTTTTAAACATACTGTAATACTATAAATTTAAGCCTAAAATTATTTACTGAAGAATTTTAAGATTGAGATTTGAAATCTCTCACTGACATGTTCTGCATTCAAAATCGAATTGCCATTGATGTCGTATATGCATGTTTTATGAATGAAAATACAGTTTTTTTTTGTAAAGTGACCTTGAGCAAAAAAACGCACTCATTTAATCCATTTTATTTTTTATTAGAAGGTTTGAACACTATTCTTTTGCTACCTTGCAAGCACTGTTATTTCCTGTGGGAAACGCAAATCGAATAATGACCGTACATACCAATTCTTGCTTGCTCCACACCTGTGCTGTCTACAACCTCATAGGCACATTTAATTTCATCCAGTTTCATCTGAGGGTCAGTAAGACACCAAATGTAACATCTAGACTGGCCCACTCAATACTATTAAAATTACTGACAGCAACTGCAGATTGAGTTAAACTTAAATTGAATAACTCTGCGCGCTGAAAAGACCGAACAATACTGGCCCACTCAATACTATTAAAATTACTGACAGCAACTGCAGATGGTAAGACTTCAGTGACTAGAAAATAATTTGTAAAAGAAATGTAAAGCTTTCCAAATGAAAGAGGCAGTTGTGTGGTGATGGTGTATGAGTCTTACCCTCAGTAGTGTTTGTAAGATTCTAAAGAGCTGAATCATTTTCTCCGAATCATCTGCTTTCAGGTCCCGTGGTTTAACCTACGTGGAAAAAAAAACCCTGATTGTCAGAAGAATTTCAGGGAGAATGCTTTTGTCCCTCACACATTCCAATAAGCAGATGTTTGTCTGGAAGCAAAGTAGTATTCCAGTTTAGCTAAAACATGCAACCTCAGATACACACAATACCTGAGCATTGTAACTGTGCAACTGCACATAGTAACAGTGAAATATACTGTACATACATACACACACACAGCTACAATATACAACCGGCATTTCTATTTTTATTCTGCACATTTTGTGAGATATATACATTTTTAAAGTTTGTCATTTACAATGAGGTTTAAGTGTCAAATTATGTACACACAAAAAAAGTGTGAAAATATTATTTTAAATGTTATCAACATATTAAAAAGCTAATTTGGATATATGATTTAGTATACATAAAATGTTCTGCCATTTCATTACCAAAATGTTACACTTTTATTTCCATCACTGTCATTTCCACTACATGATAAAATACAACATACAGTATAATTTAATACTGTGATAATGACTTCCTGATCATTGTACCTTATCTACACAATTTGTATGCCTTTTAAAATGATACACTCACCAGCAAAATCAAATCACAGAGTTTCTCATCATCTTCTCCCAGATCTTCTGGGTCTACTCCCATGAGCAGCTTCCAGTCTGCGGCTGCAGGCATCTTTCAGCTTTTGTACAAATGTCCAACAGTGCTGAACTGAACAACAGTTTGTTAGATGTCAGTGTGATGTCAGATGGCGTTTTATTGCCAACCTTCTTTACCGACAGTGAAATATAATGCTAATGTACAATATTCTTGTTAACATAGACTTCTTACAGGGCACTATGAATACACCCTCATGTAAGGACGCAGAATAATAACGGTATTACAATAAATAAGAGGTCAAAAGACAAGCTAGATATTATTAGCAAGGTTGTTCTAGCAGTGTTTGCAACTGGTCATATTTTGTAGTGTTTGTTAGCTACAGTATTATAAACGGAATATTGGGTTTTAAATGCGTTGCTTAATGTCACAAATGCAACTTTTGTACATATTCATAAAAAGACTAGACCTTATTCAGAACTTATTGATAAAACAGCCTAGCCATATTGTGTTCCCCTTGTTATGCTGCTGCTAGGCAACCATGAAAACATTCGTAAGGCGGAACGTCGTAAATTCGTCACCTTGGGCTTTGTGTTTGCGCCATGCGTTTTGTGACGCTTTTTAAATTATTCCCGTTATGCGGTACATTCATTACAAAGGAAGTAATATGGAATATATATATATATATCTGTAGATATACTTTTATTGAAATTACATTGCAGAAAAATAAAGTCTTAACCAGTACTTTGTAATTCTTTACTTTTATTCTGCCAAGCATTTTGACCCGGAAGCAGTCTATGGGTCCTTGTTAATTCAATGCTTTAGATCGAACTGGATGCTTCAGCCAAAATAAACACACACATTCTCTTTTCATTTAGTTTCTACCAGATATGACAAGGTGAGTAGTCCATGTGATTATATATTGCCGATCACTGATGGCGGATTGAGAGTGATTGTAGAAATGGTTGAAGCCAATGCAGGCTATTGGGACAAGCTGTACGTTAGTTAGACTTGATCTTTAACCAGATCAGTGTCCTGTTAATTTAACCCAGTTTCTTCTTATCATCACTACATTCCTTATTTATTAGTGATGGATGTTGCATTGATGTTTTTCATAACTGTAATGACCTAATTATTCGATTAAAGTCAATGAAAAGCAAATGCTAACTTGATAGCTGGATGGGGCTGCGCCTTCGGTTCTCCGCTCATTGCGCGCAGATTATTGTATTATTCTGATCCTTCGACTGATTTGCTCGTGTATTTAGTTTTGCAACATAGCGGCAAAAGGTCGCAATGCAGTCGGTTGATTTAAACAGGGTCAGAAAGGTCATGATTTCAAGTGATTATATTTTGCAGGCATGAAAAGGTCATCGAAATGAATGAAATATTGAAAGGCATGGACATTTCTATAGTGATTACATATTTGTCTAGCTCTGATCTGCTCTAAAATATTCATAATAATATATACCAGGTAGCAGTGTTATTTAGTATTATTTATATACTCTTTTATAACATTTATTAATATGTTGAACTTTTTTATATTTTCAGTTTTCATTTTAATTTTACTTCATTTTTGCAATTTTGTTTGTCATTTTTATTAGATTTTTAAAAATATTTCTTATTATTCATTGTAATATTTAGTTACAGTAACTGTAATATTTTAACGATTTTTAATAGTTTTATGTAGAGGTTATAAACACTGTTCTTGTCATTAATAATAATAAAAAATAATAAATTCTATATAACAGTAACAATTTTTCTGCCTTAAAACAAAAAATGCAGACAAAACCATAAATGGTAGAAACATAAAAACTGGTCAATAGGTTTGAAACATTTACCATTACTTGGCGATTAAAAATAAATTGGATCACAGATAGCACTATAGAGCACAAAAATAGAAATGTAAACTTATTTATTTATTAAATGAACCATGGAATCTTTTGCCTAATCTATAGCAAATCTGGCATGCATGTAGTCTGGAAGGCCATTGACAACAAAAACATTTTGAAATTCAGCGTGGCCACCTGAGGTCAATGAAGAATGAAGGGCGTGGCCTAGTTTACTAAAACAGCTATAATTTCTCAAGCAAATAAGTAATTGTGATGAAATTTGGTGAATTTATGTAGTCCATTACTCTGAGAAGGCTACAGGACTTGACTCGTCTCAGTCTGTTGGTGGTGCTATAAAATTCATAAACCTTAAAATAACTCAACATGAGATTGTTGGTGTGTTTGACTTGACATTTTGCATACCATGTCTTACGTGAATGTATGAGGACAATTTTAAACAATGCCTGTCATTAGCAATCAGTTCTTTGTAATGAATCAAACCAGTTCATGTATGCATCTGAATCAAAATGATTTTGTGATCACATCAGGAGTCGCAGTTGTTTCTCCTCAGCCTTTGCAGTGCTCAATGAGGTCTCACGTCAGTGATGGCTGTAGTGTCGTGGAAGGAGATCTGTCTTCTGACTGGACTGGTGGTGGGCTGCTACTGGAACAGCCTGTTCTGTGGCTTCGTGTTCGATGATGTCTCTGCTATCCTGGATAACAAAGACCTTCGTCCCACCACACCACTGCAGAACCTCTTCCTCAATGACTTCTGGGGAACACCTATGTCAGAGGTAGTAACCTTGAAGAAATTCATCTTGCAGTCTCACAATGTGATATTTTTGAAGGCTCGTATCCAACCTTGTCTTCTTCTCCAGGAGAGGAGCCATAAGTCCTACCGGCCGCTTACTGTTCTCACCTTCCGCCTCAATTACCTGTTCAGCGAGTTGAGCTCCTCGTCGTACCACCTCCTCAATGTGGTTCTCCACGCCGTGGTGTGTGTCCTCTTCCTCCACTTCTGCCGCCTGCTCTTGGACCGAAGGACCAGCCTCATAGCGGCTCTGCTGTTTGCTGTCCATCCCATCCACACAGAGGCTGTAAGTAACTGATGTTATGTCAGATTCATCAACATGGTTTATGTAGCCGACACATGAAGTTGTGCTCCATTTCTGGGATTTCTTTGTGTTACTTTTATGCAAAGTCGCTCTTTTGATAAACATGCCACTGGATGATCTTGTTGTTGCTTAAGGAAATGCACTCTGGCGCAAAGTTGAGCAACAAACACTCAATATTCAATGTTGAATGAAGTGTCTTTGCAGATGCCGCCTCGTGGTGGCAGTCATAGATAGAGCTTGATGTCCCAGTGTGCATTGCTTGTAAACAGTCATACATTACCATGGAAACACTGTTTGAATTGAGACCTTTTCATTTCAGTCAATATTTGTTTCCTATTTCTTGTTGTCCTTTCTTTTTAATTGAGATACCACTTATTTGAAGTTCATGAGGGCAAAATCCTCAGAGAGTGTGACTGACCTTGTAGCTCAATGCAGTGGTACACTATCTGAGTAGAGTACATTACTATAGGACTGGTAAAGATCTGTGCTGCTAGTGAAATGGTTGGGGGGGATCAGTCCTCATGCGGGTGACCTAAGAACTGGAGTGTTAATCTGATCTAATCTGATCTTTCTCTAAAACTATTATAACCTCTACCACAGGCACAGTGCTTATCTTTAGACCGACTGTAGAAATAATGTATAGTACATTTCTTTGCATAAAAAGTTCCTGCCTAATGGCACCAAAAAAAAAAAAATTATATTTTAAATTTTTTGACAATAATATGAATCTCAATTGTTAATGTTTACTTTGAAATGGTCTAAAAGGATTATTTATTTATTTAATTATAATATTTGTTGTTTAAAATATGTAATTATAAATATTTAATTGTTTTTGATTAATTGTAAATTTTGGTAATACATTTACGCATTTAGCAGATGCTTTTATCCAAAGCAACTTACATTGCATTCAGTGTATACATTTAATCAATTTATTTATATTTTTCAGCAGCTGTTGCCAAGTAGATTCACTATGTTTATTGTAAAAGCTAAAACACAGTAAATACAGCAATGTCTATTTTCATTAAATTAACTAAAGGAAGTAATGTATAACTGGTTATATTTAATTACATGTATTTTGGCTTACATATATTTAAATGTTTTTAGTGAAAATATATGAAAAATGCCAAAAGGAATCTTTTCATGAACATTTTTGAGAGATGATGCAAACAAATCTTTTGTTTCAAAGTCGATTCATTTTGTTCAGAATGTATCAAACTCCAGTGCTCTAACTTTTGCTACCAAAGTATGAATCAGACACACTATAAAATGGCATATCGCAATCTAATTTAAATGTGGAAATAAACAGAGTTTAGGAGGAAAATTTGATAACGTTATGACGTTCAGTGAATGAGAAATATTTCAAGGTCACTAATTAAATAAAGAAATTTGTGACATTGAGCATGTGAACTCCTGAGAAGGTTCGAGTTTTTGCTTCCATTGGAGCACAAGATGCTATTTGGATCATTCTCAAGTCGTGTTCATCAGGGTTTACACAAACTTGAGGCGGTCATGCAGTCTGAGTGCTGCAGTCATTAAAGCAAAAGGGGGACAAACCGAATACTGAGATATTCTGAAATTCAACTTTTCACTCAAATGTTTATGCTTATACTATGCAGAAAATTAAAGTTAAGACCTTTCCGCACTGTTGGTCTCAGTCTTTCAGACTCTACTGTATATAACTTTATATAACAATTAAGTGTTCCATATGATTAACTTATTTAACTCCTTGCATTATTTTCGGCAAACATTCTCATAGGTTGAATGAAAGGGAAAAATAATTTCTGTTTTACAGTTATGATTGATTGCTTAAAACTGGTTGCACCTGTCACAAACTTCCCATCCAATCTCCGGTCGTGGCATAATAAGAAACCTAGCTGTAAATACACACTTTATAAGAGATACTGTCAATCCAACATATGACATTTCATTTTACATGCATCAGCTTGACACATATTGTTGCGAGTGTTCAGAGAATTGCACGTCGAGCTGCTATATTTTGCTATATGCAGGTGACAGGTGTCGTTGGCAGGGCTGAGTTACTGTCTTCTATTTTCCTGCTGGCTGCTTTCCTGGCGTACACCAAATCAAAAGGCACCGATCACTCTATAGGTAAGTGTTGCCATCGCATAACCACATAATCCATGCATGCATACACGCTGCAACAAGTTCATTCCTAGGACATGACGTGCAAGCTGCAACTCGCCTCCCATTCAAAAGCTCACGAGCTCCCCACCCAGAAGTCTTGAGTACACAGTTCCAGTTTCACAGATAAATCAAATTGGCATGTTGTTTCTGACTTGATGCTCTCCACCACAATTATCATATTTTACTGTCAACCTCCCACTGTGATTCTTGATATTTTTCTTTAACAGAATGTTAATCCCGTCATAATATTTTTATTATTACCTTTTCTATGGTCTGATGACAAGTGATTATTTTCTTATTTTATTGGGTTTCACATTTCTTTTGTTCCTCTTAAATTAGTCGTCACCTTAATTTTAAGGTGTAAAAGAAACCGCACGATTGAATAGTGCATGCAAGTGTTGTATAGAATGCCAAGCCAGTGTTCTTTAGGTCATAATA